TTTGGTTTGCTAAGTAGCAATGCGAATGCGAATGCGAATGCGAATTGTTGTATAATATTTATGCTTTGTGTTTTTGATTCGCCCAAATGTGAGTGCGTGTGTGTGTGCTTGGGGGCGTAATGTAAATGGTATGTTCAGCTAAAAAGTATGCTATGGAAATTTTATTATATTTTTCTTATGCATTCGACCTCTACATACGTTTTGTTACGAAACAAAATATTTTTATTTCAATTTTAAATTGGAAATTTAATTTTGCTAAAAATATATATCTAGCAAATTGTACAAATTTCTAAGCTAATTGAAAAGGCTTCCATAAAGAATATTAGAAAATGGAGCAAATTTATTGTATGCACAAGACCAAAGGGCGAACCTTAATTTAAGCAAATAATATTGATATCAGCTAGCTAACAGTTAAACTTGAAGTAAACGTTCTTAATTGATGATTAGCCAGAATATGAATATTTCAATAAATTTCAGTGTCATTTTTAATCGTTTCCAATTAAGTCACAAATCAAAACTTCGATTATTTATGAGCACTTCAAAGATGCTCAAAGTGTATTTACTCGATTTATATTCTCTTTATCAGCTGCAGCGCCACGGACCATGCCAGAGCTCACTTTTCGCTATTTGCCAGCTGCTCGGAGCACTTTGACTGCGGCTATGTCAATAAATGAGCGTTGAGCTATTTACAAAGCATTAAATTGTAATTTTTTTTAATTACACACAAAAGATTTAATGGCTGCTGTGGTAATAATATACAACAGACGTTGCCGGCGATAGTAGCCAACGGACAGACACACACCCGCCCATATTACGGGCAACTGATTAAAAAGCATAGCGCGGAAAAGTATGCAACGCTTAATTACATAAACGGCTGCGCCTGAAGCTCCATGAGGAACCGAACATGAAGCACGGCAGTAGCCAGTTTATCCCAGATATGGCGGCACACTTACCACACTCAATATACAGACAGACAGAGAGAGATAGAGAGCGAGCGAGAGGGCAAGAGCAAGTCAGATAGTTGCGCTCAAGCTGGCGTGCAAAATCGAGATAATAAGAAAATGAAGAAAATTAAATTGTTTTTTTTTTTTTTTTGTGTCCACGCGCCAAGTGACCAATTAAAGTGAACTGCTAAAAGTCTTCGAGTCACTCGCTCACTGGCCACCCGTCCCGCTGTCGAGCCAGCGGCATGTGCCGCAAAATGTCTTCGTTTTGCCCGCTGAGATTCAGCTGACAGTATGGCCAAGAATGTCCTTGCTCCTGTCTGTTTGCTTAGCTATAAAATCATTCTCAGATTTCTAATGATGCTCGGCAACGTGGCCATGGTTATGTGGCCTGCGCTGCTCTGAAAGAGCAAACTAAATTACCGCCGCGAGCCTCTCCAGCAACAGTCAACAGTTGCCCCAGAGTCGTAAATATAAGTTGGCCCGAACTAATATGCCAGCACGTTTATGTGGCCCACAAATCTTGAGCAAAGTAAACGCGCGCCCTTCACAATGGAAATGGAAAATGCCAGCTACCGCTTCGGAACTCTTGCCTCCACACCTTTGACTCTGCGCTGTTTGTTGTGACTTCAGAGCGTCATTGTTATATACCCTGTAAAGGCGAATAAGAATTGCTACAGGTGATCATATATCAAATTTTTTATTTCATGAAAAAAAAAACAATTTTTAAAAAAGACAAAGCTAAAAGTAAATAAAAATATTTTATATCGAACTAATTTGATTACAAATATCTTGACTGACTTAAGCGTAGTTTAAAATAATAAATAATAATAACTCTTTTTTTTAATAAACTTTAAGGACATCAATTTTTTTTTTCTCTATGACAAAATTTTTTAAATGTTTTTTTTTTTTATTTTTAGGAATTTTTTATACCGCACTATTTCATTTAAATTTTTGTTAATAAATTATATAAATATAAAAATATTCTATTGAAGTCATTTTATAACTTGAATATAAATTAAAAATCATTTCGTTTAATCTCTCTAAATAAATTTAATTTTTTATCATTTATTATTTATTTATTATTTCTTGCTTTGCTTTTCTTTACAAATTTTGTTTTACTTTTAGTATATTGAAATTTGTACTTGAAGTAATATTTTGAGATTTAATTTAAACAAAGCTCTTTTACGTGGTATTTTATAGTCTATATCACTTATATAATTCAGTTTTGCCTTTCCTGTTTTATCGTATGTTTGCTGTTTGTTGCCAACACRCTAATTACYGCAATTAATTATGCTGCCTGCTGAACAAGTTCTCTACATCTTTCTGACTCACTCTATCTCTCTCTCTCTCTCTCTCTCTCTCCTCATTTTCTGCATTTTCTCTCTGCATTGAGAGCTGAACTTTTAGCTGCTATTTTTGTTGGGTTGGCTTAAATTTTGACTGAAAGTTGGGCCTAAGCTCATAGTATTTCGGGCGTGTCTGCGTGTGTGTGTGTATGCGTGTATATCAGTGAACTTATGTGTGTGTGTTTCAACATTCCTTGTTGCACAATTTGAGCAGTCTTTATTCAAAGACTTTTCGAACGAGGAATGCACTTCTGCTGCTTGCTCAAACTGCATATCAAATGCGCTGCGCGGTAATTAATTAATTTAGTAAGTGGAAAAAACTTTTAAGAACGTGCCTGAATATTTGTGTAAATAACGATCGATGCTTTAGTGTATACTGCAATTTAAATTTAATTTAGATTTAATATATGTTTTTATATCGATAGGTATGTATATTTCCATACGCCAAGGAACACTAGAATATCAGCTTAAAGACCACAGATTTAACTCTTCCGTCTCTTTTTCTCTCTCACTCTCTGTCTCTCTCTCTCTCTCTCTCTCTCTCTCTCTCTCTCTCTCTCTCTGTCTTTCGCCCTCACTTGCTCTTCATAGCTTTTTAATCTTAGCAGCGTTTTAGCGTCTTTCGCTGTTAAACGGCAGTGAACTGCAAATCCGAGCCAAAAATGAAAAGTCAGTTGCAAATAAATTGATATCAGCTAGTAGCCCAAAATTTAAAATGCTATGTGATACATATACACACACACACACACACACATGTGCATGTTGACTATCGACGAACCGTATAAGCAAAGAGGGGAAAAAAACCAGCGCTGACACAAAAATAGCGTTGGCTTAATAAACTCGAACAAGAACTGAACTGGCAGCTGCAGTTTCCAATGTTGGCGAGAGAGACTTTATACGGCCAGGCTAGGGAAAAACAAAAAAAAAAACATAAAGGCAATAGCAGTGAGAGTGATGTGAGAGGCAGTGATAGACTCGAAGATATGCTATATGAGGATGTATAGAAAAAAATTTATGAATACAGGGGATGCGAGAGGAAGGGGAACATGAATGAGAAAATATAGGATAGTAAAGGTTGAAAATCAATAGTTGTAAAATTTTTGATTAGCATATTTTAAGCAGATGTTTTTGCTATTCATAAATGTTGAATTTTTAAAAATGTATTTATATTTGTTATTCAATTATATAAGCCTGATAGGCCTCCTGGACAAATATGCAAATATGCAGCTTTGCAGCTTTCATTACGCCCTTTGTAATCTTTACAAAATTTACAGGGTATTTAACAAAAGCAAACGCCATCGATTTAGGCTAAAAGCGTGCAGCTTCGCTAACGCCATTTAGCCGAAACAAGAAAAAAAAATAAACAAAATGAAGAAGAGTCAGAGTTTTATTTTCGTATGGCAACTCGTTTGGCCTTAAAGAGTTTTTTTCGTTTGTTTAAACGAGAGTTGCAAAATGCGGCCCAGTTGGCTTGGCACTGACATGGGCTCATTATACGCTTTGCCTTTGACAGCTGAATGTGGACTATGGACTGCGGATTGTTGATCGTTGAGCGATGTCCGCCCGGTTTAACAAATGGCTGCCACATTTTGTGGCATGAACGCAATAGCAAGCCAATGCAAAACAATTACACAAATGTCAGCCAGCAGCTGCTGCTCCTGCTCCTACTCCTGCTCCTGCGTCGGCTGCTCCTGCTGCGACTTCTGCTGGTGCTTCTGCTGCCGCTGATGTCCTGATGGTAATAGCAAATGCTAATGCCTGATGCCTGATGCTTGATGCTTGATGCTATTATGACGCACAAATAGAATTGTGTACAGCGAAAAATAGTATTTAACGCGCGGTTTGGCAATAAATGTCAGTAGGGGCCAAGCCCGCAATATGCCGGCTGCCATTGTCATTTTTCGCATTCTCATTCGCGTCCGCAGCCCTCATCCGCAGTTGCGCTATTTGCCATTCATCTGATTTATGTGGCTGTCAACGCGACCCCAGGAGTTTACCATCAGTTGATGCTAGTTACAGGACTAAAACCCACTGCAGTGCCAGCCGCTCTCCCTCTCTCTTGCTGCCTCTCTCTCTCTCTTTCTATCTACCGTCTGGCCGCAGTTGGCACATGGATACGGCAAACGTGGCTGATTGACAAACCTCTATTTGCCAAAATGAACCGTTTGACATGCGGTTTGACGGCTCTTCTGGCCACAGCGGTTGCCTTCGTTCTGGACCACTGCATCAGCTGCTGTTGCTGCTGCTGCTGCTGCTGCTGGCCAAAAATTGCTTTTGTGCCAGGCGCAAACAATTTGCTTTGATTGCAATTCCAAAGCTTTGTATCGCCCACATATGCATCAAGAGACCCAAATATCCGTTTTCATAGCAAATAAGATGGCCAACAACATTCAAAATCGTCGAAACTTTTGATAATTTCTGCCTGAATTAATATTTGATTTTGCTCGACTTTGAATGGGATGGGAGATGATGGATACAATCTCAGTTATAGAATTTTATAATAAGGTCTATTATCACCAAACCATTCTCTAGTTAGGCTTTTATTACGTAACCTTTACTTTCCACACACAGAGATAACGAAATGCGGATTAAAACCTAATACCATCTGAGTAATTTTATTCGATTTGAAAGTCATGAACATAAGTGAAAACACATTAAAATTTGGTAATTTCCAAAGTTTGTGACAGATCGAGCAGCTAGCGAGCCATTAAAATTTCGTTTGCTTTGCAGTTGTGGGTAAATCGTCGTCATCGTATTCAGAGTGGGAGGAATAGTCCAGCTGGGATGTGATGCATAGGTTGCGCACGGGATACTTGGTCTCCGTGTCCGTTAGCACCATGGAGCTACTGTAGGTGTTGATTTTGCGTATCACATCGGACACGCTTACCCTGGGCTTCCGTTTCTTCAGTCTGGACTTCCGTCTTGAGGCCGATGAGGCAACTGAGAATGTCCTGGTTACGCACCGGCCGGACTTCGCGACATTGTTGATGGAAAATTTGGAGTCGAAACGCACTTCTGGCTGAAATTCATCATCGTCTTCCGTTTGCAGCTCGGACGCTTCAGTCTCGATTGGGCAGTAATCCAAGTCATTGGAGCCTTGGGCATCCGTTTGGTAGTAATCCGAATCGTACAGCTCACTCCTCCTTACCTCCTCTTCGAACGTTTGCCGTTGAGCATGTCCGCCTAATGCATTGCCGCCGGTCAGACGTTGTTCATGCACGAACTCAAAGTTGATGCCGCCAAGAACAGAACCATTGGTGTTGATAGTATTGCGCACATCAATCACGCAGAACGTGAGTATTTCCTGGAATAGGCCCAGACTGTTGGCCTCCTTGATGCCAGCATCGGTGACCAGCAGGCAGCCGAGCACAGTGCCGCTTCCAATGTCCCGCACGTTCACATGGTAAATATTGTCCGCCCGCAGCAGAATGGTCAGAGTAATATCCTCGAAGCACCGCTTGCCCATGATCTTGAACAGTGAGAACTGCATCGTGTCGATAATGGGCAGATCCTTGTTCCTGCAGAACTCACACAAGCTCGAGGCCTTGCGCTCAAGCGGAATGTCGCCTTTGTTCGTTGTTGTATTCTTCTTCTGACAGTTGTCAGCAGGGCTGGGCTTGGGCTCCTTGGATGGGTCCTTGGGTGGTTCCTTGGGTGGTTCCTTGGGTGGTTCCTTGCGCAGTGTCTCCTTGGCAGTCTCAAAATATTTGTACTTATCGGACAGCCCCTTAACACACTCGCAGAGCTGTTTCAACTGATCGTTCATAGTGTTCAATTTTTGCTTTTGATCGATTTCCTCTTCGATCTGCTTTTCCAATTTCTTCTTCAGCGCGCATAATTCCTGGGTAATTTCTGGTATCTTCTCGCATTCGGCACATTTGATCTTATCTGTTTCCGTTTGCTTCGATTGATACCTGACGCTCTTTGCGGATTCCTTGGACTTTGTGCTTGGAGTTGGATTTGGAGTCGGACTGGGAGTTGGATTTGGATTGGGACTTGAATTTCGGGTTGGATTTGAGATTGGAGCCGCATTATCGGGTGGTAAGCTTCTAGTTGACGGACACCTGGGTATCTCTTTTGGCGCAACTTCGGGAGCTTTCGGGCATTCCTGTGGCATCTTCTTGGGGACCTCCTTCTCTCTGAATAGACAGCACTTGAAACGCGTCTTGGAACTAGATCCTTTCTCAATAGATCGCTTTGAGGGCACAACTATCACTGGCAGCTTGCACTTGCATATGTATTTGTTTTTCGCCTTGGGTTTCTGCTGGTTTTTCTCCTTGTCGGAGTCGTCTTTCCTCTTTTCCTCTTTTACCAACTCCTTCGCTGCCGCTGGCTCCTGCTCATTGCTTAGCTTCTCTGGGCAGGTGGGGTGTGGTGGAGCATTGCATGCACAATTATCGGGCTTCGCTCTAGACACGGGTACGGGTATTGGCATGAACGACATAGGCGAGGAATTAAATGCAGTTAAGCGTCCGCCAAGTAAACGGTCCCGGTCCTTAGATTTTTTCAGCAAATCATCTGACGCCAAAGCTAAGCAATTTAACTGTTCCGCGCGAATCTTCGCTCTCAGGTATCTTTCATAAACACGAGCAGCATCTGCAAGATTATAAATCCCAATCGAATTTTATTCATTTTGTTATTAAATACTTACCCATTATTTAACTTAACTCTAAATTTATTTCTATACCAAATAATTTGAACTCCGACTACTCTCATCTGTCCCAATTTCTAAACTGAGTCCATTTGACATCTTGACGCCTGCTTTGTAGCATAATTATAATAAATGATTTGATTCCCATTGCCTGCTTGCCCAAACCATTTGCTCTTCAAATATTTCCCAACAGCTACTCAAGCCTTTGCCAATTTATGTTTCTGACTGGGGTTGACAGCTCGTAGCTACCTTTTATTTCAAAGCCTGCATTCCCAAGTAGATTTAAATTGACAGCAAGTCCGAAATTTCGACAGCAATAAGCATACCTTTCTGATCAAAAGTACCAGCCTGGCAAGAGACTTCAAAAGCCAAGCAAAATAATATTTAACTGGAGATTGTATAGTTAATTTCCATTGACTTGGTATAGGAATAGAAATTATATTTATCCATACCAGACCAATTTTGTATAACATTTGATGCAAATGCACTGAGGCTGTCTAGAACAGGTAATTATAATACAGTAAGCCAAGGTAGAGCCTGGACTCAGTAACACTGATAACTAAGTGTGGTTAGAGAACATAGAAGTACATCTAATGCATAGTCACAGTCTAATGGTAGCACAAGAAAGAGATGGAGAATGAACAACGTTAATAATTCCAGCCTAACTAACTGAATTTTACAATTTGTATATTTCAATGTTGAATGCAACATATTTTTAGCTTTGGCACACCCAATAAATGATTTTTATAGACGAAAACACATATACACATAAATATTATATTATGTTTTATTCATCATTTGCTCAGTTGGCACACAAAACCACAAAACATTTAAACGTTGGCAACATTTTTACTTGAGAGACATACATATATTTGTTGTTGTTAAATCCAATTTCTGTTTGCACTAGTTCAATTTTTTTGTTTTTTCTACTTGTATTTGTATTTGTATATGTATTTGTTTGTTCTTTTACTTTGCTTCAATGGACAGTTTTGGTATGTTTATTGAACTTTTAGTTGTATTTACGTTGGACTCAGTTTGGATTTCATGCACATATTGTTTTCGTTCAGCTCAACTGTTTATATTCATTAAATTATGATTTGTAAGAGGATTAAGAAAGGGATTAGACTGTAAGTGTATTGTGATTGTATTGTTTAGATTTCCGTGTGGATATGATAGATAAATGCAAGGATTTTTTACACAGATTAAGTCGAGTCTGTGAAAGGGTTTAAGAGATTTGTAAGAAATTTTTCTTTGCCTGTGTTTTTTTTTTCTTTTTTTTTTTTTTAATTTTACTTATAGTCATGGAACATGAATCAAACTTGAAGTGAACTTTTTTATATTAGTTTTGCAGCTTATAGTTTAAGTTAAAGTTTTTCTATTTCATTAAAAACTAAGCACTAAGCGCCCATCTAAGAGTTATTTTTACTTCTGTTTTGAAATCTTTTGTTATGAATTTTAGCTAATTGCTGGGCTTGCAGATAAACTGAACGAAACTCTGTATTAACTTAAGCTTAAGAGCGGTTATATTAACAACTTAGACGATTAATTAGTAGACGTTACATAACACGAGCAGCGATCGGGCAGCAGTCACTAAGGAGGTTAACGTGGCGACGCCTTAAAGCTAGACAAAGCACATGGAATTTATTTTGGGGGCTGGGGGAGGGGCACAGCTTTGCAAGCACTCAGTGGCCATGCCGCAGCAGTTGATGCAGCAGCAAAACATACAGCAGCGGATAGGAATTTGGCAACAATGAGCCGGCCGAGACGCGCGGCTCCAGCGACAGAGTCTTGCACTTCTCCACTTTGCTATAGTCACTGAAGCCGGCCAGATTACGCGAGGCAGCGCGTATCAGATAGACGGTATCCGGCTCGAGGTTCGTTATGAGAAAATTGGCACCTGGACGGACACAAAAAAAAGAAATGAGAATGGGAATGAGAATGAGAATGAGTCAGCGCATGAAATGGCGAAAATGCTGCAGTTGAATAATGGCAGCGCGCTGATGCAGCTGGCACTCACCCTCCTCGTAGGGGAAATCCTTGCGCTTGGCATTCGTCCATTTGCCCGCATCGGCTTTGAATTCCATCTCTGTCATGTACTCGATGCGGAAGCCATTCACGTCCATAGGTCCGAGCTGATCCTTATCCCTCGGCGCGCTCAAATCAACATCAAAAGTGTTCGAATTGTAGCCGTGCAGCTGGAAGACGGACGGCGGCGGCGGCTTCTCGCCCTCCTCGAGTCGTGTGATGCGCTCAATGCTGCCCAAATGATTGTGGGCGAGGCAGCGATAGTTGTCAAATACCTTCGCATCCAGCACACGGATAGTCAGACGCGACCAATGGCTATCCGACTCGATGGTGTAGAGCTTCTCGTTGCTCTCCAGCCGCTTCTGCTTGCGGTACCAGCTGAACGTGGCCGGCGGCTCCGCCTGCGCCTCGCACATGATGCTCGCCGTGCCATTGATGTACGCGTACTGCAGCCCGACATGCGGCTTCTGCGTCCAATGCGGCTTATCTAGATGTATGACATTAGAGATTCAAGTTTTAATTCGAATTCGTCAGGCAATTTCAATTCGGCTGCTTCCCTCAGCTGGCGCGCAAAAGTATGCTACGAATTGTGCAACAACTCATGCGCTGAGGGCATAAATCAAATATGGCCGCCAAGTAAAGTCATTAGCAACATGTGTGCCACGCCCACCCTCATTGAGAGCATAAAACATATATGCGAACGAAGTGTATGTCATTTTAAAATATTCTCGTGCTCCAAAAACTATTTGCCGCTAAGCGCGCTGCATACTAAAACGCACACAAATTCTAGAGGCGCTCGTAAAACTGCTCAAGTAATTTCCCTGCCATTCAATACAAAGGCACAGTGGTTCGATAAGGCAGAAAATGTGAAATATAAAATTAATTTAAATTTCAATAATACAGAAATATTAAAAA